ACCTGTACCCCCTTCGCTGGGCTACTGCCCCGGGGGGTTGCAGAGATGCGGGATGGGCTAGATCCGTCCCTGAGTCCTCGTTCAGCTGCCGGCGAGAGGCTGCAGCCCGCGGCGGTCGCTGGTTTTAGGGACGGGGTTTCTCTTGCAGGAGACTAACGTTTTAGGGTTCAAAGGCCCCCGGAAGATGACGGTCATCATCCCTGGGATGAACGCTGACAACGAGAGGGTGCCCATCCGGCCCCGAAATGTAAGTCGGGGGCCAGACTGGGAGAAACTCCTTGAGGGCTGGATTTGCTGGGGTTCACCTTGGATTTTACCCATTTCGGGGCATGGAAAGGCTTTCGGGTGTCCCTGAAATTCAAGACACCTCCCTGGGAGGTGGGAGACGCGGTGTCTGTATTTTTTTTCTCTCCACAGGGGATCCCATCTCCCAGCTGGGTACTGCTACAGAGCATCCCCCTGGGCATGCCACGGGGGGTGGCAGGGCTCTGGGTGGGTTCACCCCAACTCTGCTCTCCCCCCTCTCGCCCTCCTCAGGATAATGACGGCCTCCTGATGCGATGGCAGAACAAAAACATGGAAAACATGATCGAGCTGCACAACAAGGCTCCAGTGTGGAACGACGAGACCCAGTCCTACGTCCTCAACTTCCACGGCCGGGTCACCCACGCCTCCGTCAAAAACTTCCAGATCGTGCACGGCAGCGACCGTAAGCCGGGGAGTGGATGGGACGAGGGGTGATGGTGGGGGAGCACTGCCCTTGGCCGGCCCCAGCACTCCTTTTTGGGTTTTTTTTTGCTGAGGTTTACTTTTTTCATGTATGTCTGCTTTGGGGTCCTGCCTGCCTTTGCCGGAGCTGGGGTGAAGGCGGCCAGGGCGTGCGGCACCGCACAGGCAGCTGCCTGCTGGCCCCGGGTGCCGGCAGAGGGAGCGCGCGGGTCACCTGTTGCCAGGCAGATTAGGGCAAGGACAAATCCTGTGGGGTGCTGAGCCCCCCCCATACTACAGCCACCCACTCACCCCACAGCATCACCCCCGGCACGCGCCCCACATTGC